AAAAAAATCTGCCTTAGTCCCCAAAATCAGAGCAGCACCAGTTGTTGTAGGGATTCAGTAAATGTTTTGATTAAATAAATAAGTCTTTAAAAATGTATATACAAGTCTGGGTGCAGTGGCTCACACCTGTAATCTCAACACTTTGGGAGGCTGAGGCGAGAGAATTGCTGAGCTCGAGGCTGAGAGGAGCTTCAGGCCAGCCTGGCCAACACATCAAGACCTCGTATCTACAAAATAATTAAAAATTTAGCTGGGCATGGTGGCACATGCCTATAGTCCGAGCTACTTGGAAGGTTGAGACAGGAGGATACCCTGACCCCAGGAGGTCAGTGATTCTGCCACTGTACTCCAGTCTGGGCAATGGAGTAAGACCCCCAGCTCAAAAAAAATTTTCTGCCTTCTGCATTTTATTTATGATATACTCTATCTCTATTTTAAAATACATTTCATTTTCTCAATTCTTTGAGTAAAATGGATGCTCCGAGAAGAGTATACAATGAGGTTTCCAGTCCTGCTTAAAGCTCCCGGGTAGAGAGTTTTCCTGAAAGTTTCTGCCAGTGAGACTAAGGTGAGAGGGTTGCTTGAGTTCATGAGTTCAAGATTAGCCTAGGAAACATAGTGACACCTCATCTCTATAAAAAAGAAAAAGAAAAAAGAAAAAAAGAGAACAAAGCAGCTCTCCTTTCCTCAAAAAGTGTGTGCTGAAAATATTTCTATTGATAAAATAAGTGTACAAATTGGGACAAATCAATCTCAAACATCTATTGGCACAATTACTCACCTGTATTCCAAACCCGAGTGTATTTTAAGTTCTCAAAACATTGATGTTTGTCTAATTTCCTGTCCCCCGCAGCAACTCAGAGGGTAGAGAAGTTTGCATCATTCTGGGCTGGCTTTCCTGAGAAGCCCCAATCTGGTTCTCCCTCAATTCACAAGGAAGAAGCCTGCTCACCTTAACCATAGAGTCAAGACAGATTGTCCAAGTCAGCTAAGTAACAGAAGGAAGACAAAAGCCCAAACCACAAAAGATTCCAGATAAGGAAAATCAACAAGAACTGTAGAAACAAGCACGAATCTTATGCCTCTTCCATAGCTACACTTTTTGTTTGTTTGTTTCGGGTGCTACAGAAATATGGACGAGATGATCTTCAAACCGTCTAGTCCAGAATTTGTCCCACAGTAAAATGCTGGAGAAACATTCATTATTTCTCTCCCTTTTTCCTTCTCACCTGGCTTTGTGGTTTTAGATTCAGGATTCTATTTCTACCTAATATAAAGAGCCATCCAACATTTTTGTACCATGAAAGAAAAAAAGATTCTTTGTCATGTACATTATGCAAAAGAAATCCTTTAAGGTCAAATCGTCGCACGTTGATGGTCTGAGGCAGATGTGTGGCACCAAGAATGGGCTCTGAAATCAATGTGTCTGGGTTCCAGTCCAGCTGCACCACTTGCAAGCTGGATGACCTTGGACAAGTTGCTTAACTTCTCTGTGTTTCATATTCCTCATCTCTAAAACTGGAATAATGATACCTCAAAAGCTTGTTGATAGGACTGAATGAGAACATATATGTATAAAACGCTTAAAACTGCCTGTGTATAGTGAGTACTCTTTTGACACTAGGCGTTATTATTCATGTTCATGAGGTTCACGTTTTTAGCATGATCCTCCAAAGGACTGGGCCTCTCCTTACCTCCCCTGCCTCTTGTAGTTCTTCCAGTACACTCCCTACTGCTCTGTTCCGCTGAAGCTAGATTGCATTTTAGTCTCAGATGATTTTATCTCTGTCCTGCTCATCTTTGTTCATGCTGCACTGTCTGGTCACCATTCAGCCTTTGCATTGCGCAGTCTATTTCCACTAAGCTTCCACCAAGTACAATGGTACACTGCTACCCATGTATCCCAGGCAGACATATTCTACACAGTTCTTCATTTCTCTTTCTCCCTCCTCTAGACAGTGAAACTTTTAAGGGTAGGAGGTGTGTGTTAGAAACCCTTATAACTATAGCATCTAGCAGCTCTCTGTTATATAGAAGGCATTTATAAAAATGTATATTGAATTAGAGAAGGCTTAAAGATCCAGTGTAGTAATTCTGAAGTTATAAAATTCTATTTAAAGTACAGCCAAAGGAATTGACTCCATGACCTCTCCTGGCAGTAAATCTCATTTATTACTATAAACAGCATAAAGTAATTGTCATTATTTGTTCAAAATTCAATGTCGTTTAATCACATCGGGTGAATTGAATTAGGAACCATGCTCCTATTAATGGAATTCAGTTTTGAATATATCTGAGCTGTTTCTAACAATATGATTCAGAATCCTCTAAAGTTTTTTTTATCTTTATAAGTAATGCTCTATTTGGTTATTTCTTTGTTGTTTTTATTTACATCATATAGTGCTTTACTTGAATATTTGCTCTATCTTTAATTGACTGGTTCAACAGAAACTGAAAACAGTTATATAAAACTAATATGTCTTCATATTTTCCCCTTGGTGAATTTTACTGAAATCTGCATAAATATCTAATTTTTATTATTTAAATGAATCCTTCTCTCCAGAAAAAAATAATAATCTACCCTATAGTTGTATAATGATGGCTCAGAAAATGCATTTGTGTTTGTGAAATGATGAAATTGATAAATTGAATTTTATACTTGGTTCATATATATCCCAAATCTAAACACCTCATTCCATCAAACTTCACCACCAGTCTCTCAACTCAAGATCGCAAAAGCTTTTGAACTAGCCACTTGAAGTGAGTCTGTCAAATTTTATTCAGATCATGCTAGACCTCCCAGTCAAAATGTTGCTGCATTCATTACACTATAAATAAAATCTGAACTCCTTCCAGTGGCCTTTGAGGCCCATCATGACCTGGTCCTGCTTACTCTCCCCCACCTCCCCACCACGGTGCCCTGGGTCACTATAACTACAGGTGTCCCAGGATGTCTTTCTTCTTGAACATGCATTGATTGATCCTAGATGATTGATCTTCTTGAACATGCATTGATTGATCTAGACCTTTGCTCTTAGTGTCTACTCTGAATGTAATCCTAGTTCTTAAACATAAGGCTGAATCCTTATCTGCAGCTCAGAGATGATCTGCTGCATGAAGTCTGCCTTTTCTGACTGCCTTTCTTCAGTGAGCCGATCCAGGTCCACTGGACTGCTGACACCTCTCACAGTCAGGCCTTTTTCAACTCTGTCTCTGCCTAATAGCCAAGCTAATTCAGACCTTGGTGAGAAGTTCCCTTAGAGTCTCTGCTACTTCCCTCTCCTGACACCTAGCTAAAACTGAGGATTTCACAGACCTCTGTGGCTGAGCCATGTTCTCAGAAGGTCTATTTCCCCCCTCTACTCGTGATCCATGGTGCATGATAGCCAAGGAAAGTGAGATGGCAAACTGGCTGTGGGACCCTCTTGGCCACGACTGGGTGACTGCATGTTGGCATGGGATTACTCCATATAGTAATCTCTTCCCAAAATTGGAAGCAAAGACTCTGAGCATCCCCTCAACTTAATTAGGAATTCCTGAGGCTACTCCCCCTAGAGACGTGGCCATGGAAGATGTGGAAAGAGAACAAACACTGTGGCAGCACTCTTCCACTGTGCTCTCTCTCCACCTCTTGGGACATTTCTCAAAGCAACGGAGGATGAGGGCTTTCTCCCTATTGCTTTATGTACATGATTTGAAACTCCTTTGTGTAAAATTCCATGTTAGTCATATGTTTGCCAACAAACATGAAGATGAAAGTAAAAACAGTTAGTGACTCATCTTAATGTTTCATCTTTAAATGACTAAGGCTCTGGGCCTTGGCAAAACATCCAAGTAATAGACTAATCCACCAAACCTGCTCTTGATATGGTAAGAAAGAACTGAAGGATTTTCTAAAGACTGACTAACTTTATACCATACATCAAAATAATGCTTTAAATGACAGAAACCAAGTGTCTTTTCCCCACCTCTGCCTCGTGAAAGGAAGTTGCGTCGAACACTGTAGGAGGAAAGACATGTAAAAAAGCAAAAGAGAAGAATATTATTATTTTTATTTGACTGGCTTAGACACAAATGAAGGAAATACAAGATGATTATTTTCTCCCTACATGTAATTGGAAAAGGAAGATAAAGATAATAATAACTATATTCAAATAAAACATTACCAACAAAAATAATCACAATGCAAGAACAGCTCCATTGCTTGAGGGTCATTTATTCAACATGCTGAGTTGATAATTCATAATCATGATTTGGGTAGTACATACACACACACACACACACACACACACACACACATACACACAAATCTGAGTTGCTGAATAGATAAAAGAACTCAGGTCACTGGCTGACCTTCATCTGCTCTTATTCTAGAAAGAATTCTCAGTGTTTGATTTTCCTGACTTCCCAGCCAATGTCATTTTGGATGCATCAAATCAGTTGTTGGGTGGCAAAAAACAGATATAATGAAAGCAAGAATGGCATTCAATGATGAGACATAAAAATAGTAATAAAAAAATTTATTCACAGAGACTCTGAAACCAGTTTATATAGATGTAAATGTCCCTTCTCTATTTGTATTACCTTAGTCAGTGTTTTGATATTTTATGCGAGGAATTATAACCAGTACATTCCATACTTTATATGCAATACTTGTGTTTGTGGTTTTGCTCATTTATTCTAACTGGAAAATGCAGAAAACAGAGACCTTAAATATATTTAGTTATCATGATATCTTATATTCACTTTCTTAGACATTCAGTTATGGCATTTATTCATTCTAATAATATTGTTGTGTATCCTAATGACTTAAGAAATTCAATAACTTCTTTCTAAAAATTAAAAGAAATCATAAATTGATATAAAGGACACAATAATACATATCAAAAGACTTATTTTTATAATGTGTGATTTCTTTTAGATTTTTGTGATATTATTTAGCTATGTATACAGTACATCCAGTACATTTAACAACATATTTCTTTATTTCTTTCTTCTTCGTCAGGTTTAGAATGTAATTACTCAAGGATTTGATAATACAGTGGAGTAGTTTAACAGCTTGTCTACGTGCTTCCCATGATATGTTCTCTATATTGTAAGTACATATTTACTTTCTCAACCTGGTTTGAGTGTGGGAGAGATGTATTTAATTAGAACTCATAGATGACTTAGGTTGCTTCAGGAAATTATAAAATAAAACTCATCTAAGGTATAGGATAGTTTTAGAAAGTTATCTTATATGAAGAGATTTTCCATAAACTTAGCTTTAACACTATAGCAAAGATAAAACTTAAAATAATTATTTATCATAGTAGGAAAATATACTAATGGTATTTAATTATGTTTTTAATAAATATTGTGCTTAATAGTCTTAAATTTTCTATACTCTTCTTTAGTTTTCTAGAAAAAATAAATATTGGACATGTAAAATATTATGCTAAGGCATTAAATTTCTTGAAATGTCTTTTTAAAAATTTTTCTCTATTATTTATCTTTTGAAAATGAGTTTTAATTTAATTTTGGCTAGGTGATATGTATACCGTTAAATCATTAGACTATATTCATATATGTAATTTCTTTCATAAGTTAAATAAAAGGGGGGAAGAAAAGTGTTCTTTGCACAGATGTGAACTTTTCACTGTTCATTTCACATTACTGAAAAATAAAAGAAGACGTAAAAGCATGAGATACTATACTTTGCATTTGAATTAATAAATATAAACAATATAAGCAATATGTATTTATGTTTAGTATAACTCTAATCACTTAGTATAACTGTATTCACTTAGTAAGTAGTAATGCCTAGTATAAATAATTCATAGTGGGAGAAAGAAAGAAGTCGCTTTTCCTCAAAAGAAAGTAAGCTATGAACTGGAGCTTCAACAATCAGAAGTGTCCCTACAATCCATGTCATGTTTAGGGGATCAGGAGATGCTGTTCCTTAACAACACTTAATACTGCCAGACCTAGAATCTCACCTGAAGCCTTACTCTCCATTCTTCCAGCTCTTTTCTTGCTGAAGTTCCTATCTGAGGATATAGAGCTGTCACCAATGATTTGGAACTTAGTGAGCCCTTTCTCCACAGAAGGTAGTAGAATGAGGTGTGCCTGATTATTTTTCAAGAACTGGAGGTGGTAGTAGATAGATTGTTGATGTCCATTTCAGAATACTGAGTGCATTTTGATACAAAATATACTTTAATATATAATATAACCTCATAGTATAAGGTTCTACAGCAGTGTTAGCTAATAATAATATAATGTGAGCCCACATATGTTATTTAAATTTTTCTTGTGGCCACATTTTTTTTTAAGTTAAAAGAAGCGGTGAAATGTATTTTAATAATGTATTTTATTTAACCTTGCATATTCCAAGTATAATTATTTTGACATGTGATTAGTGCAAAAAACATTAAACAGTTTGCATATCTTTTTTCATACTAAGTCATTGAAATCCAGTGTGTGCTTATAGCTTATCTCAATTCAGATACTAAGTTTTTATAAAATTTACAATTGGAAAAGTAGATTCATAAACCCAAGTTGTCCAACACACATTTAAAAGTTTTCCAATAACTAAATCAAGTGTCAGTTATTAAATTTAAACTAACTAAAATTAATAGTCATCTCCCTATCACATTAACCACATTTCAAGTGCTCAGTGGCCAAACATGGCTGGTTACCACCATGCTGGAAAGTGTTCCAGGGGACTGTTGATTCAGTGCTACAATTCTGCTAGGTATTTTACCCAAATAAACTGAAAATATATTTTTGTACAAAAATCTATATTTGAATACTTATAGCAATTTTATCTTTTATTGACAAAAATTAGAAATACCAAGCTATTATCTTCCACTGGTAAATGCATGAAAAAACTGTGGCATATCTATAAAAGGAAATATTGCTGGTAAATGAATGATAAAACTGTGGCATATCTATGCAATGAAATATTACTCAAATATGTGTGTGTGTATGTGTGTGTGTGTATGTAAAAAACTATTGATTCATGCATATCGTGGGTGAATATTAAGCACATTTTGCTAAGTAAAAGAAAGCAAACCCAAATGACTGAATATTGTATTACTCCATGTATCTGAAATTCTGAAAAAAGCAAAACATGGAGATGGGAAACAGATCAGTGTTTTCCAGGATAGAGATGCGGAAGATTTACTACGAAGTGATTGCATGAGGAAATTTTAAGGGCAATGGAACTGTCTGTGGTGCTGCACAAATTACCACAACTCATTCCATTTGTCAACACCCACAGAACCGTGCAACACAGAGGGTGAGCTATATAGCATGCAAATAAAAAATAAGAAACAAACAAAATGGGGTATCCCCAGATGGAGTAAAGATTGTGACAAATGAGTCTAAACAGATTACAAATGTAAGATATAACATTACTGAAGACAATGCAAGGAAAGGATCTAACTTAAGTAATTTTGGAAAACTGAATTATAAAAGGAGAAAACCTGCAAAGGATAAGGCTAACTATGAAAAGAGCTATACATAGACATTGTACTCTAGGTTTTTTTTTTTCTCATAAAAGTTCAAGCTAGAAACTATAAAATTACATTGCATGTATATAGGTTGAAATGCATAAGTAAATAAATCATTGATATTGGGAGACAGGTTTCTCACTGCCAGAGAAAGAAATTACAAATGAGCAAGGAAAGACTGCTAAAATTAACCTCATAGTGCTCACTTGGAGATGTAGATATATGAACTCATTTTTATTTTAATATACATACAGATAAAGAAATGTTAACATGTGCACATACTTGGGTATACATATATAAACTTCACTAGTTCTGTCCGCTGACAAGTTCTAGAAGCAGTGACACCGCAGTAGCAATGAACATATCTTATGCTCAAATTTTAGTTTCATGCCCAGAGTTTAGAGGCTTCTGTATATACATCAAATATTTAAATATTGCAATGAGCATGTAAAGTCAGAGGGTATAAGTGACTTGTCTAAAGTCAACAGCTAATGAAGAGTGGAGTATCTACATATAACACATCTTACCTAATTCTTAATCCCTTGACTTTTATGCCATGTCATGAAATCCACACTATATGGAAATATCATGTTACATTGATGCTTTTAACTTCCCTAGATAATCAAGCTATTTTTCTTAATTTAAATGAAATCCTAACAATTTTTCATCATCTAAAAAGTATTATTCACAAAGTAAGAATTCTTACCTGAAATGTTTTCTTTTCAACTCCAAAGTCCCAATTGGCTACTAGATTGGAAGTCATTATTGCCAATTTATTTGTGTTATATTAGACACAAGTATACCTTCACTTTAAGGAAATTCTATATGAGAACCCAAAAGCCACAAAGTACAGTCATGTACCACATAACATTTTGGCCAATGAAGGACCACATATTCAACAGTGGACCCATAAGATTATAATAGAGCTAAAAATTTCTATCATGTCTTAGCAATTAGAACATTGTAGCACAATGCATTACTCATATGTTTCTGGTTAAGCTGGTATAAACAAATCTACTGTGCTGCCAGTTGTATAAAAGTACTGTGCATTCTATACAGTTAGTACAGTATATTATACTTAATAATAATAAATGACTATGTTACTGGTTTATATATTTACTGTAATACACATTTTATTGTTATTATAGCATGTACTCTTTATTAAAAATAAGTTAACTCTTAAACATCCTCAGGAGGTATTTTCATAGGAGATGGCATTTTTCTGCATGTCATTGACCTTAAAGACCTTCCAATGGGACAAGACGTGGAGGTGGAAGACAGTGACATTGATGATCCTGACCCCGTGTAGGCCTAGGCTAACTTGTGGGCTTGTCTCTTCGTTTTTAGCAAGCAAGTTTAAAAGGTGAAATATTTAAAAAATACTTTTTAAAAGTAGAAAATAACACTTATAGGAAAAGAATAGTAAAAAAGAAAATACTTTTGTACAGCTCTTCAATGCGCTTGTGTTTTAAGCTTAGTGTTATTACAAAACAGTCACAAAGTTTAAAATTGTTTTGAAAGTTCGTGAAGTAAAAAAAGTTACAGTAAGCTAAGGTTAAGCTATTATTGAAGAAAGAAAAACTGTTTTTGTAAGTTTAGTGTAGCCTAAATGTACAGTGTGATAAAGTCTACAGTAGTGTACAGTAATGTTCTTTGCCTTCACGTTCACTCACCACTCCCTCATCACTCACCTACATCAGTTTCCAGTCCTTCAAACTCCATTCATGGTAAGTGCCCTATAAAGGTATACCATTTTATTATACTGCATTTTTACTGTACCTTTTCTAGTTTACATATAGAAAAACCAATGTGTTACAAATTCCTGCAGTATTCCTATAGTAACATGCACAGATTTTTAGCCTGGGAGCAATAGGCTTTACCATATAGCCTGGGTGTATATCACTTTGGATTATAATATAGTAGATACATGAGGCAAATACAGAATCCATCCTACATTTAATTCTCATTTTGTATCTGTTACAATGATACATAAACATGCTCTGAAAAGCATATCCCCTTCTAGGTTTGTGCAAGTGCACCTTGATGTACGAACAATGATCAAATCGCCTAGCATCACATTTCTCAGAACTTATCTCTGTCATTATGCCATGCACGGCTGTACATAAAATAAGAAGTAATTTTTTTATTATGATATGATTATTTGTCTCACAAAAGCATTCATCTGTATTCTCTTTGATAACAATCATCCCTGGCGCAATTTTGTTAGATTTATACATAGTATTTCAAAAGAAATAGATTCATTTTATGAAGGGAAGCATCTCTACCCTTGGATATGTGATTTTGTTTTTTTTTTTTTACTTTAGTATCTGCATCACTATGCCCATCTGCTACAATTTCTCTACATAAAAGTAATCTTATAATCCACACAGTTTCCATATAGAGAAAATTTATATACTCTCACTTATCAAAACAGATTTGTGCATTGTAACAGATAACAAATAAGATTTAAATATAGGACAGATTGCACTGATTTTGCAGAGAAATCACGCTTTCTCCCAATTGCTTTACAAACACAATGCCAACTTTTGGGGGAACTTATTTTATTAGGCCATTTGAAAATGCCTTATTAGTCTATTTG